ACCGCCACCGCCCCTGCGGGGACACCGCGTCAGGGGACACCCAGGGGACACCCAGGGGACACCCAGGGGGGCACGGGGTCAGGGGACACCCAGGGGACACCGAGGGGGGGCTCTTGGCGATGAACTCGGCCACCGCCACCGCCCCTGCGGGGACACCGCGTCAGGGGACACCCAGGGGACACCCAGGGGGGCACGGGGTCAGGGGACACCCAGGGGACACCGGGGGGGGCTCTCGGCGATGAACTCGGCCACCGCCACCGCCCCTGCGGGGACACCGAGTCAGGGGACACCCAGGGGACACCCAGGGGACACCCAGGGGACACCGGGGGGACACGGGGTCAGGGGACACCCAGGGGACACCCAGGGGGGGGCTCTCGGCGATGAACTCGGCCACCGCCACCGCCCCTGCGGGGACACGGAGTCAGGGGACACCCAGGGGACATCCAGGGGGACACCAGGGGACACCCAGGGGACACCCAGGGGACACAGCATCAGGGGACACCCAGGGGACACCCAGGGGACACCCAGGGGGGACACCAGGGGGGCACGGTGTCAGGGGACACCCAGGGGACACTGGGGGGGACACCCAGGGGGACACCCAGGGGACACCCAGGGGGGACACGGTGTCAGGGGATACCGGGGGGACACCCGAGGTGACACCAAGGGGGACACCAGGGGAGGGCACGGTGTCAGGGGACACCGGGGGGACACCGCGTCAGGGGACACCCAGGGGGCACCTGAGGTGACACCAGGGGGGACACCAGGGGGACACGGTGTGGGGGGACACCAGGGGGGACACTGGGACAGAGGGAGGGCTCTGGGTGGGGTTTGGGAGAGATGCTGGGAATGGGATCATTGGGACACCAGTGGGACCACCCCAGGACATCACGGGGGGGACCACTGGGATGGAGGCGGCACCAGATCAGGTCCAGACCGACCCACCTTCTCCAGGACCAACCCAGGTTCTCCACGACCACCCCACGTTCCCCACGCCCCGAGTGCCCCGTTGGCCTCTCCAAATCCCGGGAATTCCCCCATTCCCGGGGGGGGGGACTGACCTTCGCAGGTGAGCTTGGTGGAGGCGAGGCCGAGGCGCAGCACGGAGCGGTTCCCGATCAGCCCGTTCTTCAGGTTCCGCACCCCCTCGTTCCCGATGGGGTTGTGGCCCAGGTTCAGCGTCTCCAGGCTCTGCGTGTGCGGCTGACACCGATCCGGGGGAAAAAACACCGGGATCAGCCCATGGATCGGCACCAGATGGGGATCCAGGGGGACAAACACCGGGATCAGCCCATGGAGTGACACCAGATGGGGATCCAGGGGGACAAACACCGGGATCAGCCCATGGATCGGCACCAGATGGGGATCCAGGGGGACAAACACCGGGATCAGCCCATGG